CTTAAATCATTGTATATAAATTTAGATAAACATTTTGTGACTAATTTTATTTTAAACTTTCATGTTTTTTAATTGGTTATTGGCTGATCACAGATAATAGATTCTTACTTGTGTTAAAAGCTGATAACCAGTGGTGTTGCCTCACTTAACGGCTGAAATTTAAAATTCTGTGCTTTCATCGAGGATTTATATATACTCTTCTAACTTGTTTAGATATGTTGGAATACAATGAAAAATGTGATGATAGCTCTGACAATTCCATCGGAAACGATTCTGAATATACGCAAGCACCGACCATGAAACCGGTTTTCATAAAGAGTGCTTGTCAGCCAAGTGAACCAGTAGAATCAGATTTGGATATAGAAAAAGGAATGAAAACTCTAGCATTGCTAACACAACGCAGTGAAGAACTGCAAAGAATGGCTGAAGTTATTGGATTAGCAAAGAAGGAAATCCGTGGACAAATAGAACAGAATATGCAAATGATAAATCAAGCTCTCTATAAGAGGCGTGAATATTTGTTAAATGAACTTGATTTATTAATTGGTGCTCGATGTGATGCCATTGGAAAAATGCAATTCGAGTTTGAATCGCTTATACAAAGGCTAGGCTCCCTCATAGAGATATACAGAAGGCAACAAAACGAAAGAAATTTAGAATTCAATGGAGAAAAACCAATTCAAGGTACAGCAAGGGGAAAAAAAATGTGCGCTGCCGAACTTGAAAGACTAATTGAAGGGTTTGTTCCACTACATCCTGCGGAAACTGATACTCTTTCTTTTTTTCCAACTGAATTGGATCAACTTCTTGGTATAATTAAAAGGTTCGGATCAATCGGCCTTACGAGTATTTCAGTCGAGCATTCAACCTTAGAAGAACCAAAAGATCTAACAGGTTCATTTGTTCAAAGATGCAGCACGAAAGAAACAGTAAAAATTCCAGTAATACTTCATGATTCTATGGGACGAAAAATACAAAATCCCGATGAAGCTGGGATATCAGCTAGTCTTACGTTACGCATTGAACATCCTTATAATATTAAAATGAGCTCTGAACTAGAAGAAATAAAAAATCCATTTAATTCTGAAGCTAAATTAAATGAAAATCAAGATAGAAGGTTAAATGTTGTGTATAGGATAAACTACCCTGGAATCTACGACTTAAATGTTAAAGTTTTTGGAGAAGATATTAAAGGCTCTCCCTATACAGTATTAGCTAAATCCACTTTAGGCCCTAACGCCATCGAGTGGATGGAATGTATGACTCACTTAAGTAGAAGCCAAAATCGAAGACGAGTCAAACACAAGTTTAGAAAAGGCTACGTATCAAGTCCAACACCCCACCAAAGTCCAGAAAGGCCACCAGCTCTAGCTGATCAAGATATGGGAGATAAAGGAGATTTTTTATTTTCTTGTGGAACCAAAGGAAGATTAGATGGAGAATTTGCCAATCCACAGGGAATATGCTTTACAAGGAACTCAAAAATTGTCGTGGTCGATAGTAACAACTCAAACATACAAGTTAGTGTTGCCCTTATTAATAGAGTATTATTTTAACAAACTTAATATTGTGTAGGTATAATTTATACTTAAATTGAGGTAGTAACTACAAAATATAGCTGTTATAATAATTTTTACGTTATCTTGATAGTAATGCATATTTAATTTAATTCAAATGATTAAACTAGTTTAAGTATGTATAAAAATTGCAGACAAAATTATATTCCATAAGAAATCAATGAATAAAGCCAAAATTAGCCTCTATTTGGAAATCAATTGGTTATAGTATGAAGCTTAACTAAGATTAGAAAGATATGTACAAAGTTTAGGGGCATTCAAAACAATCATGCTATATAAAATTATGATGCCAAGCAGTTCCCCTTTAAATTTGGAAATAAAAAATGCACCTAATCAAAAATATAAATTCATTTTAGAAGCTGAGATAATAAAAAATTAAAAGTAATAAATCAAAATAACAAAATAAGAAAAGGATATGAGAATGCGAAGAGTCAAGTGCGTGAAATCTCAATAGAATATGGTAACATTAAAAATAATGACTATGGATTATAAAAATCCAATGAAAGTAACCTTGAGGACACTTAGGTATATTAACATTACTTAGTCAACACAAATAACTCAGGCCTTTACAGCGGAGCTTATTTTGATAATTATTAAATCAGATTGTGCAATAAGATACCACAGGTTGATTAAAAACAAATATTTTAATTTGGTTTTAAAAACTGCTTAATAAACTGTGCTAAGCTTTCCTCTGTACTGTGACAGACATTATCAGAGCAAGTATC